CGGGAGGAGACGCCGCCTCGAGGCTCCTGCCACGTTTCCGCCGCGCGTTCCGTTCTCTCAGGGTGGGACTGCCACCCCCTCGGCCTGCGGTCTCGGGGAACCCGCGTGCTGTCGGAGCGTCTCACCTCAGAGAAGGAAGCCCGGTTCTCGAACCCAGGACCCCACGGGGACTGGCTCCCCGCCGGGGGCCCCCGGGACCGCGGGCGCTCCCTGCCGAGGGTGTCGTGGGGAGGGCAGGGAGTTGACTCCGGGGCCCTCCCCCGAACTTGGGGGAAACCGGGATTGCAGAAGTTGGGCGCTGCTTGCAGGCCGTTCCCAACAGCGGGTGGGGACGTTTGCCGCCTCCTCACCCAGCGCTCTTCAACCGGCCGCAGTGCTTCCAGCACGCATTGGTGGCTTCGAAAAGTCACACTCCGGCCCTTGGAAAATTGTCCCCCCTCGTGGTCTGAAGCCGCTTTGTGACGCCACCGAGGCTGAGCACGGGCTCCTCAGCCCCGCGGGCCAGTCTTCCCGCGCCCTCAACCTTGGGAACGTCTATCAGGAGAAATACTTGTTTCTAGAAACGGGTGCGATAAGCTTTGGGTTACAAGGGAAGGAACAGGACCTAGTGTAAACTCCTGAAAGGCCAAGCTTGCTTTTCCTTGGGTTTTATCCGCGCAGCTGTGAGCCGAGGAGCCTGTGGAACAAAGTAGAACTTGAGGAGCAGCCGCCGCGGTGACGACGTCCCGGGATGACGTCACCGAGCGATATTTAAAATGGGAGCTCTTCGCTCTTCGCGGAGTGTGGGTGGAGGAATTGCGGCGACTTAAGACGCCTGAGGTCTTCTTGGCCCCGCGTGCTTCTGGTAGTTCACGTTGTCCTCTGCCTGACTTTAGAACTCCCCATCTTTTACCTTTTGTCACTTGTAGAATAATGATGGGGGTGCTTTTATTTTTTTAAAGTTATTCCAGCCATCATTCCTTCAAATAATAAAGTCAGTTCATGACTCATTTTGTATTACAACTAAAAGCAACCATTAAGGCTTGTTAGCTCCTTTTTATTTTTTGATATAAACATAGCAAACAAAAACAAAACCCAAAACACTGATCTGTAGCACATCGTTGGCAAATTCAGAGAATGAGAATTATCTAGTTAAGGATTCAATACACTTCTTTAGTGTGGTTCCTTATTTTCTTTAGTGGAGTGGCGCTAATGTAGTTCCATCAGCAACTTTTCTTCCCAGATGTACATTAAATTGCAGTGGATTTTCTTTTCCATCATAATGTAGTGGAGTGTAAGTATAGCTTTGTAAAATGGATATGGCTCATATTTTCCGGAAGGAGGTTGTACAGTAGTTGTGGTAAGCTGGGGTTGTCTGTTTCCACATCCAACCTGTGCCTGGTAGCTAGACATAGAGGTGAATTTGGCGTTCTAGGGTTCCAAGAGGAAGGTTTGGGTGTCTTCTCATCCAGGATTGGAGTGACTGTCGCTGCCAACACACCTCTCAGATAACTATATAGAATATTTCACAATGAAGTCTCTTGTTCGAATTTACACATGAAGTAAAGACATCACATTATGGAGAAAAAACAGGTTAAGAAAAAGAAAATGAAAGCTATCACTATTAGCTTTTTTAAAATGGGTGAGAATGCACACATTGCTAGGTTAGTTGGTTTTTATATTAAACATAGCAGAGGCTACATGTCTTTAATAATTGCTCCCAAAAGGTGATGTTGCTTAGTAAATGCAGCATCTGAATAACTCCAAGTTATAGCAGCCAAATGAATGAGCTCATCGTGTAAAGACAGAATATATATCGAAACAGTCCTAGGACAAGGTTTTTTTCCTTTATGGATTAATCAATGATAAACCAGATCTGCCATTTAAAAAAAAAAAATCCGTCTTTGAGGTGATTCCAAAACACTTCTGTCTCTCCGATTATCTCTTAGGTTTTCTGTGGGCAGCCCCCAATTTCCACACTTAAAAATGGTTTGATAGGACCACTTTTTTTGTCTTATCCTGAAAGGCCACCTGTAAAAACTCAGTAATTTTTAAAAATCGATAACAGCTTTATTGAGATAAAATTTGTACATGCCAACAACTCACCTACATAACGTTTACAGTTCGGTGGTTTTAGTATATCCATAGAGTTGTACAGCCTTCAACATAATCAGTTTTAGAATATTTTATCATCCCCCAAAGTAAGCCATTACTTATCTCTCCTTTCTCATATCTTCTGCTCCTAGACTACTAATCTACTTTTTTTTTTTTTTTTGAGAGATTTTCACTGTAGGGCGCGTGCGCTCGCCAGACAGACAGAGAGAGACATAGAGACAGAAAGTGAGAAATCACCCCCCAGGGGGGATGGTCACGCCGCAGTCCCTTCTCCTCCATTCTCCTCTCGGGATCTTGGGCACACACGCACACGCACCCAGCGTGAGTTTTAAGCCACCGGGTCCAGGACACGAACCTTGGTTGACTACGTGGGAGTCCAGCGACATAGCCATTACGCTAACTGCTGGTTCCCTCTACTTTTTATCTATATAGAATTGCCTATTCTGGACATTTCACATGAATGGAATCACATATTGAATAGTATATGGTCTTTTGTGGTTGGCTTCTTCCCTTAGCATAATAAAGTCAAGTTTAGCATGTATTGGGTACTTTATTCTTTTTAATTACCAAGTAATAGTCCATTATATATATACATACCACATTTTGTCCATTCATCAGTTAGTGGACATATGGGTTGCTTTTACTTTTTGAATATTATAATACTGCTGCTATGGACATTTCTGTACATGTTTTAACATGAATATGTCTTCATTTCTCTTGAGTCTATAGCTTGAAATAGAATTAGTGGGTTATATGGTAACTATGTTTAACCTTTTTAGTAATACCAAAACTCTTCCAAAACTATTCTAATGTGCTGAATTTTTTTTTTTAAGTTTTTGCTATAGGGCATGTGCGCTCACCAGAAGGACAGAGAGAGACAGAGAGACAGGAAGCGAGAAAACACCCCCGAGGGAGGATGGCCACGCTGCAATCCCATCTCCATTCTCTTGAGATCTTGGGCACGCACTCACACCTAGTGTGAGTTTAAGCCACTGAGTCTGGGATTCAAACCATGGTCAATTATATGGGAGTCTAGTGACATAGCTATTAAGCCATCTGCTGGTCCTCTCTACTGAATTTTTTTTAAGTGGACCCTTTTGAATGGAGAATAAAGCTTAAATCATTTCACAGAATTTTTAATTTAAATATTTGTGGCTACATAGTCACACATTCATTAGAAACTGTAAAGTATCATCTATTATAGTGTTTCTCTTTGAGAGATAACTCTAATTTTTTTTTAGCCAGTGGGAGCAATTGGGCATGTTCTCTTTACTGAACTTCACCAAAAAAGCTAGGTGATAATATTCTTAAGTAGTATTTTATATCATAAACATAAATTGGTGATTATTCAATCCTTACTCCAGATATGGAGCTAATGAAACATAAGAAAAAACTGGAAGGAGGAGGAAGAGTTGTAAAGGAGGGCTATTTTGCAGAGCTATATCTCCAAGTTTTATATTTTGTTTGTTTCTGAAAAAAATCTATTTTCTCTTTGCAGGGAAAAATGAAGAATGAAATTGCTGCCGTTGTCTTCTTTTTCACGAGGCTAGTTCGAAAACATGATAAGTTGAAAAAAGAAGCAGTTGAGAGGTTTGCTGAGAAATTGACTCTAATACTTCAGGAAAAATATAAAAATCACTGGTATCCAGAAAAACCATCAAAAGGACAGGCCTACAGGTAAATGATTAGAGTATACAGCTAGCTAGACTAGACTAAGTGAAGAGGCTGATCACTCCTGAAATAAGTGCGAGACCAGAAGACTGAAGGGTTTCCAGACTCTGTCTATTATACTTTTGTCTACAAATACAGAACTCTGGGATATCTAGCTATTTTTCTCTTGTTCATTTTATCCTTTTTTTTTTTGGAGATGTTTTTGCTATAGGGTGTGTGTGCTCACCAGAAAGATGGAGATGGAGAGACAGAAAGCGAGGGCCATGTCACAATCCCTTCTCTTGGGATCTTGGACACGCACGCATACATGCCTGGCGTGAGTTTAAGCCACTGGATCTGGGACTTGAACCGCGGTCAACTACATGGGAGTCCAGCGACATACCCATTATACCAACTGCTGCCTCCCCTTGTTCATTTTAAAATATCAGTATTTGTTGATGGAGTGTCACTGCCTAGACGCAAGAGGCCAATGCTTTTGACCTGTAGTAGTAGTCTCTTGAGTTAATAGGCTGGTTCCTGAGCGAATACATTTCTTTATGTATCATAGGTATTTAGTGATTTTCACAGTTCTAAAGGACTCCTAATCACTAATAAATACGCATGATAAGAGTTGAAGGAAATGAGTCTACTTGTACCTAAAAGGAAATTACATGTTTTTTGAAGGAAAAAAAATATGTTCTATGGAAAAAGGGAACTAAGATTATTAGACACCTAATATGTTCTTGACAAAAGGCTCTCATTTGTACTAGTCACAATGCTTTGTGATAGAAGCTAGCATATTTTGTAGATGAAGGTAACTTACCTATTACCCACAACTAGTAAATACTAGCCCTGGGATTTTAAGTCTGACTTATCCCAAATTCTCATGGGTTTTCTGCACATCACTGCCTTGGCACTGAGAAGAAAGATAATTCTCACTTGGAGTTGTTTTTTGTACTCAGGTTTGTAAGTTACATTTCCAACATGAAGTAAAGAAGAGCACGCTACTACAAAACTTGTCCTGGCATGTTCACTCTCTAGTTTTTATATGACATCTCAGGAACCTGGGTTGAGAATATTTTTCTGCTGTCTTCCTTTTAGTCATTGAAGTCTTACAAGTGCAGGATTATTCAAGGAATCTGAGAGGGAGATGAAAATATACTGTGTTTATATCTCATTGCTAAAAGTCAAATAAGCATGCATTTTGTCCACAAGAAGAAGGTAGTTAGAGTATTTTTTCCCTTTGTTTTCATTCGAAGAATTTTCCTACTAAGTGGAAAATATGTTGAATTAAAGTAAAAATATGGATCATTTTTAAAATTTTGCCAGAGCATGCAGGTACACTCCACATGTGCCCCCATGGCACATGATCATGCCATATAGTTCTTTCTTTTGGAATTTTGGACACACACACATACCCAGCCTGTTTCTCAACAGGGGTCCAGGACTCCAACCAGTTAGCCTTGTGGGATCCAAACACCTTAACCCCATGGCACCAGCTGGCCCAAAATGTGGATCTTAATGTAGACTTAGTTCGTTTTAATCTTCTCCCTGGTTCTTTTATTTTTTTCTGAACATCTTTATTTCTAATAGTATGAAGGGCTTCTCTGAATTCCAGTTGAGATTTTTTTATCTTGATTTAATTGTCATTGGACGAGGGTTTTTGGAAGTGCCAGCCACCATACTATTACTGAAAAAGGAGGCACTGTCAAGTAAATACTAAAAGGTCAGACAGTGTGCAATTTCATTTCCATTAATTCTAAAAACTTGAGGAAAAAAAATACTTAAACAGGATTGAATTGGCATGTGATCAGAAGTAACATTATTGAGTCATTTTGATGTCTTTGAAGTAGGAAACAGATTTAATGGTGAGTTCCCATTATAGTAGAAAATAAGAATAATGAGAATTAAACTTTTCAGTCAGTAGAGTAAGTTGAAACTTTTGTTTTCTTCCAAAATTTTTATCTCTATAATTAAAATGATATCTGTAATACATACACATAAGATGCTTGTAGAGGGCAGTTTGGTATTATTATTAAAATCTGTAAAAATATTCATACCATTTGAATAGTAGGTTTCCTAAGAATTATTCTGGAAGCATAATCAGAAATGCAGACAGATATATGTGAATATGGATGATTCTCACACACTTTGTAATCGCAAAACTTTGGAAAAAACTGAACTGTCAACATTAAATAAATGGTAGCCTACTATTATGCAACTTTAAAAATTTTGTTTTTGAAGAGTAGTTAATAATGCTCAATAGTATGTAGAGTGAGGAAAAAAACAGTATAAGAATATGTAAGGTATATACTTTGCTGAACTAGTTTGGGTAAGCTTCTACATTTACATATAATTTAGAAACTTAGAGCCTGAATCACTTTCTTTGTAGATAGTTCAGAGGTCCATCTAAGATATATCGCCTTATCATTAATTGCTTTTGATCCTGGGGCACATGGAACTTTTGAATGACCTTATACAATGTTAGAATCGGTATAGGCCCATCTTATAAAAAGGATTATTAGAATCCCTATAGGTCCATCTTATAAAAAAGGATTTAACAGCATCTTTACATACTATAAAATAATTTTCCTCATTTTGAATTTCCTATACTGTTTATGGTTATATTAAAATAGGTTCAGACAGAACAGGGTATTATTTAAAAACATGATGCTGGTGTCTAGTGAATTGTTTCTGAACCCTGGATCCATCACTTAGTAACTGTATGATGTTGGGCAAATTATTCAAACTCTGCCTCCTTTTCCATATTGTGGGAATAATGGTACCTAATTCATGGGATAATTTTGTGAATTAGAAGAGTGAATACATGCAAAACATTTGGGGAAAGTACACCTTAACTTTTTAAAACACTTTAATTTAGCGCATTGTATTTTATAATGTAATTACTGTCTGTATTTCCTTATTTATATATATATATGTATGTATGTATTTATTTATTTATTTGAGATTTACGCTCTAGGGCACATGTGCTCACTAGAGAGACAGAAATAAAAAGTGAAACATCAGTCCCCCAGAGGGATGGCTATACTGTAATCCCTTTTCTTCAATCCTCCTCTTGAGATTTTTGATACTCACGCATATGTGCTCGGTGTGTTTTTAAGCTACTGGGTCTAGGACTGAACCGCAGTTGACTATGCGGGAGTCCAGCGACATGACCATTATGTTGTCTGCTAGTTCCTGTATTTCCGTATTTTAAAGCATCAGTTTGAGTAAGAGTTGAAATGACTTATCTAAGCTCACCTAGTAAACAAATACTAGGAGTATTACACTAAAACCGAGGTCTTCTTGATTGATTCTTGGTTATAGGTAGCACTAATGCTTCTCCTTATATATGCATGCCATTTTCCTACTAAGCAATTGCTTATTTTAAGAGGTTATTTTTGCATTCTTTCTGTAAGACTAGTGCTCTAATGCTGAGCTATGGAGCCAACTACTGCATTCACTGTAAGAACTATCTGCACATTCTATTATGTGGATGTTGTATTTCTTAGTTTAAAAAAAAATGGACTTAGAGGGTCTCCTGGTCTAAAGGTTCTCACTTTTTTTTTAAAACAGAACTCTGGAGTAACAGAAGTTAAATGAAATAAACCAACATTTTTGGATTTTATTTATTTATATTTTAACGGCAGTCTCTTCTCCATTCTCCTTTCAGGATCTTGGGCACACACACAAACATGCCTGGTATGAGTTTTAAGGGTCTGTGTCCAGGACTTGAATTGCGGTTGACCATGTGGGAGTCCAGCAATCTAACCATTATGCCATTGGCTGGTCCCAACATTTTTAGATTATAGTTTAATCATAAGTATGTGATGTGATGGATCTGTGTCCTTTACTGATTGTGTGTTTGTAGAACAATTATAGGCAATGCAAAAGGTGACTTAACATTTATTTATTATGTGGGATGTAAAATAGTTAATTGGAGAGACCAGCAGATGGTTTTATGGTTATGTTGTTGGTTGTTGGTTATATTATGTCGACCATGTCAGAGTCCCACAATGTAACCATTATGCCATCTGCTGGTCCCAGCAAATCAGAACTTTTCTGCAGGATTTTTGTTTGAAACATTGGTTGAGGTCTTTAGTTAAGAGCCTTTGTTTTATAGAAATTCAGCCTACAAAAACTTCTGCCTTAAGAGTTCTAAGCAATTTAAATGGAAAATGATATGTTGACAATAACACATATGTTGATGTGCTTGATTGAGCCAATATACAGTGTATTCTCAATGGAAAAATCTCATTTTGTATGCTATAATGATGTACAGTGAATGAATGTAAATAAAGAAAAAAAAGTAAAAAAAAAAAAAAAAGAGTTCTAAGTAATTTCATTCAGCTTTCATACTCCTTGCTTGTTTGGTGTACATGTGCAGGTAAGCAGTCTCTGGGTAAACTTTGTAGAACCAGTGATGATTCCCCTGAGTTCACACAGGGGACTCCTTCTTTCACTAGACTGGACACTTTTCACATTGTATCTTAGCCTATAATTCACATTTATCATCTGTTTATGATAAATACGCTCTTGGGTTCTTCATCAAGGTATTTTATTGTTTACCTTGGCAAATATTAATAGATATGCTAAAGTTTGTGATTAAGATTCAATTAATGTAACTCTGCTTTGTTGTAGATGCATTCGTGTTAATAAGTTTCAGCGAGTTGATCCTGATGTCCTAAAAGCCTGTGAGAACAGCTGCATCTTATATAGTGACCTGGGCTTGCCGAAGGAGCTTACTCTTTGGGTGGATCCATGTGAGGTGTGCTGTCGGTAAGTTTTTGGCAGCTTTACTGACTACCATGCAGGAACTGATTTTTATAAAATTAATCTTTATGATTAGAAACTGGTGGTTTGACTTTCTCAGATAGGAATATTATAAAATAACTCTTCTTGAGATGATGGTTAAGGACTGGTTCCATTCCTGTTTTACAGCTGAAGAAATTCAGAAATGAGAGCTTTGTCAGGAAGTTTATTGTAGACCAAGAAATAGAACTTAAATATCTAGGCTTCTCTAGATCAGTTACTGTCTTTCATCAATGGTGCATGTCCCCTTCAACTCGGGAAATAAGCTGATTATAGTGGTACTGGATGACAGCTTTTGGTTGGTCTCTATTTCTGTCTCTGCTGTCCCTCCCTCCTTCCTTTTTAAGTGATTGAGTGGTATTTTCATAGTGGAAATTACCATATTCTCCTCTTCTAATAGTCAGACTTGTAAAAGTCTTGGGTACTGCTATGAAATTTATGTCAGGGCCAGCTGGTGTCGTAGTGGTTAGGGCAGCTGGATCTTACATGGCGGATTGTCGTTCAAGTCCCAGACCCAGCAGCTTGACAAAAGCATGCCAGGTATCACCATGGGTGTGTGTGTGTCCAAAATCCCAAGAAGAGAATAGAGAAGAGATGTGGCATAGCCATTCCCCACTGAGGAATGCTATCTTATGCCCCCCACCCCCACTCCCTGTCTCCCTCTGGTAAGTGCTAAAACCTGTACCAAATTTAAAAGTCTATTTGAACTTCATTTATTCAAAAAAGATACCCGTTGTATATTAGGCATTCTTAGTTAAAGAATTTCTAAAAGTGAATGCAGCAATCTACTTTGAGGTAGTTCAGAGTATAATAGGGGAGAACAAATGATAAGCAAATGACAACATAATCTGAATTGTGCTGTAATAGAAAAGGGCGCAAAATGCAGTAATAGGTGGCACAAAGGAGAAAGCTATTGCCTCTGTGAGGGACTCAGGAAAGACTACTGAATAGGTGATTCTTCAGCTAGGATGAGAAGGCTGGTATGTTAAGGTAGGGAAGATATTCCAGGAATAGGGAACAGGTTGAACAGAAGTATATAATATCTTCAGTATTTTTCCTATTGCTGTACCTTTACGGTGTTTCTCTTTAGTTTTGTTGAATGATTCCCTTAATCACCTGGCCTCTTCTTCCATTAATTTTAGTAGAGCTGCTTTTGATGCAAACTTGACCATATGAGGAGATTTCAAAAAGTTTGTGGAGAATAGAATTTAAAAACGAAACCTACACAGCTGGTCCCATAACCTAATGGTTAAGGCAATCAGATTCCAAATGGCCAATTGTGGTTCGAATCCTAGCCCCTGTAGCTTAAAAAATGTCAGGCATGTGTGCATACCCCAGATCTGAATAGGTTGAGAAATAAAAGGAATTGAGACATGACCACACCCAATTGGGGTTGAGGAGGAGGGTGCTTTTTCTAAGTTTCTTGTGAGCACTTACCCCTCTGGCAAAAAGAAAAAGGAAAAGAAAGCAACAGAAGAACCAAGTCAGAACTGTAATGCAGATGCCTAAAGAGTGATTTCCCACTCAAACTTTTGCGAAATTGCCACTGTTGGATGAAAAGAATGAGTAGGGACATTTATCATAGTAGAGAAGTACTCTCTGGTGAAGCTTTCCCAAGTGTACCGCTCAAGCTTTGACTAACTCTCTTAAAACACCCATATAATAAGCAGGTGTTATTATAATTTGGCACTTCAGAAAGTCAAGGAGAATGTCTTGAGCATCTCAAAACTATTGCCCTGACTTTTGCTCCTGTCTGTGTTCGCTTTTGCTTTGACTGGGTTATTTCCACCTCTTGGTAGCCATTGCTTTGATTGTACTTTGTCTTCAAAATTGTACTGTCAAAGGCATCTGTCATCTTCTGTTACAATTCTTCCAAAAAATGCTTCAGGGTCTTGACTCCACTTGTTTAATATTTTCATTGAGATCTGTTTTTGCTATAGCTGCAACTGTTTTGAGCAGAAAGTTTATTGAATCTTAATTGTGTAAGCTGAACTATAGCTGAGATGATTATTAGTTGTCCTCTCTTATTAAGGCATGAAAAGATTAATTTTTCTCCCTTCAACTTGATGTATTACGAGATGGTCTGCTTTTTGGGCCGGCAGGTAGCATGGTGATTAAGGGCGCTTGAGTCCCCACATGGCTGACCGTGGTTAGAGTCCTGGGCCTGGCAGCTTGCTTTTTCACTTTCTCTCTCTCCCCCTCTTGCTCTTGCTTTCATTTTATCCCACTCTAGTCAAATTAAATAAATAAATAAAGTTAAATAAAATAATTCTTTAAAACAACAAAGAGAGAGATGGTCTACTCTTTTGGGTGTTGTCATCAGCGTGGTCTCATCCCTTTTAAAAACAAGTTACCCAGTTGTAATCTGCTCATTTCTTAGGAGCATTATCATAAGATTTTCATTATACATATGATTTCAGCATTTTTTTCACCCAAGTTTCATAATTTGATGTCTGCTCTTGATTCAAGTTTAGCAGAACTTGTGTTGCTCTGATAGGGATTCTTCAAACTGATGTCTTATCCTTCTTAGGACCTCATGCTAGATCCTGTCAAACATGTTATAACAAGTTATTATGAGTTTATTTTGGCACACACACACAAAAATTAAAATCCATACATAGCTTTTTCATCATACACCTTTTCCACAAACTTGTATATGCCCAAAGTGGTCATAGGTCGTAGATTTTGGCCTGATCTCCGTGAATGTGAAAGTGAAGACATGTAGTGTTAAAAACAATTGGTTAGTTGTTTTTCCACTGTATGTATTTTATCAGGACCACTCTTGGAAATCACTTACATAACTTACCAGTGGTTGATATAATAGTAAGCTTATTTTTACAGACTAGATGTAGATGTTTGTAGAGATGAAGATCCTCCAGCACTGCTTATCAGTAGAAAAAAGAAGAGGCAGCCATCTCAAGTATAGGTCTGAGGAGGTCCTATACTTGAAAACATTTTAGATCTGGGACTAATTAAGGACTCATGTTAACTTAATGTCTTACTTTGGAGATTTGCCCACTGAACCTTAGCAGAAGACTTCAGTTTATAAGAAATTGCTCTTACAAAGTTAGTATATTTAATTGCTCACTCTTTCATGTGACCTGTCCTTAGATACTGACTCTTACTTAACACATGGTTCTGTAAGTTACATAGTTTCTCAGCCCATAAAATGTTAGAAGGAACATCTGAAAGCAGAATCTAAAAGAAGGTTGTAGTCTCAAGCTACCAGAATGTTCTGTAGTCTGACATAGAGGTAGACATGTAAAAATTTTAAAATTTGCACAAGTAAATATCACCGTTAGTTAATATTTAATATAATGATCCTAAGTCATCAGAGAAAGGTATTTATGTCAAATGATGTTTAAGAAATTAGGTAATGCTATAAACATTTTGGACATACTTATTTTAACTACTTAATCTAAGTCTTGGCATCTAATGAGAAAATTTTTGCATTCAGTAGCCTTCACATAATTTTAAATATGAAATTTTGCTGAAAATTGACTATGGTATGAGTTTTTTCAGTTTTCACACCCACAGGAAAGACACATTAACAGTTGAGTAGGGATGATTGATATGAGCTAGTAAGAAGAGATTGGTAGGGATCAGCAGGTGATGTGGTCGGGGCACTGGACTCCCACATGGCTGGCAGTTCGAGTTCCGGACCTGGTGGCTTGCTTTCTCAGTCTCTCTCTCTCTCTCTCTCTGTCCCTCTGGTGAGTTCATGTGCCCTGTAGCAAATCTTAAAAAATAATGATAAATAAAAGTAAATAAATAATTCTTTTTTAAAAAAGGAGACTGGGACATTAAAAAAGTGCTTTTATACCAAAATCAGAAAGAAAATTTCTGCAAATTTAGACAAAGACAATCTAGCAATTATATAATTTAACAAATATCTGAGTCTTTAAAAACAACTCATTCAAAGTTTTAAAAAACTTTGAGATCAGTATCAGCAGATGCTATAATGGTTACACCACTAGACTCCCATGTAGTTGACTGCAGTTTGAATCCTGGACCTGGTAGCTTAAAACTCAGGGCCAGGGGTGTGTAAGTGTATGTGTGTGTGCGCACGTGTGCACGAGTGCATTCCCAAAATCCCGAGAGGAGAATGGAAGAGAAGGATTGCAGTGTGGCCATTCCCTGTGAGGGATGATTTCTCACTTTCAGTCTCTGTCTCTCTCTGGTGAGTACACGTGCCCTAAAGCAAAATTCTCTCAAAAAAAATTTTTTTTGAGATACACTTAGACATTCTTTATAGTCTTCAGTTACTCTACCAGGATGAAGTGTTGGAAGAGTATAAGGAATGCAGTCTGTTAGGTTGTTGAAGTCATTTTTTTGTTTGTTTTCCTTTGTAAAAATGCATCATGACTTTTCTGACAACCTGGTAATTAGAAAGGTTTACTTAGTGAAGTATTCGAGAGGATGTAGGATAGATGACAGATCTTTCCTATAAGAAGGTCTAAGACTAGGTAGGTGTCAACTTCATCTCCTCAATTGTTTTTGTAATTTCTGTCATTTTTATCCTGATAAAGGGCATTAAGTACTATGGTTTTGTTTCAAATGAACTAAGTTGACCATAATGTTTTAACAATATGTCATTGAAAAATGGAAAGTTTAAAAGTTGTTTATTACTGATTCTCCTAAGGAATTAACTGAATGTACTAATATTATAGTAAATATAGTCAGCAGCTTTGCTTAACATGAAGAGAGTCCTCATACCAAATACTGTAACAGGATTAATGTAGAACTTAACTGGAATCAAATAAAACTAAGCTAATAAAGCTAATCTTTACATTATTGCATGTCTACCATGTATTTCTGTTTCTACAAAGGCAGAGATTTTTATCAAATTTTCTGTCTTTTTGTTTTACTTAAACTTTTACTCCGTGAATAGGTAAGACTGAAGATAGGCCTAAGCACATTGTTAATGTTGCTTTTGTTTTACACAGTTTAACCTTTTTTAAATTACAGAATTAATTGAGCCTTTGAACCTGGGAAAGGATGAGGGATATTTCCCATTACAAAAATCTTATGCTATAAAATAATTATTTATTTAATTTTATTTATTATTATTTTTTAAATTTGACCAGAGAGAGACATACACACAAAAACAGAGAGAGGAAACGTGAGAAAGTAAGCCTCCAGGTCTGGGACTGGAACTGTGGCTGGCTATGTGGGAGTCCAGCATCCCAACCACCACACTACCTGCCAGCCCTCTATGTAAACATAATAAGACTTGCAAGACCATTTAGTATCCAGCCAGTTCCACCTTCTTCCACAGCATATAGGAAACTAAGGTCTGAGGAGATAAGGTGTCTTTTCTCTGGTCACAGAGCTCTAATTAGCAGAGATAAAACAAGAAACTTGATTAATGCTTTTCTGCCATCCTGTACCAAATCCATTTATGAGATAAGCTGAAAAAGAATACAAAAAAGAGTTATGTACCACATTTAGGTAGTATGTATGGCTCCATTTAGTCTATGGAAATGGAAAACAACACTGCCGTATGAAGAAATAAACCTACTCATCTATAAAACTACTTGATTTCTAGCTTAACTTTCAAAGGCTTTATAGTGTGTCTTTTACCTTAATTGTAGATAATCATGCTGATTCAGAAATATTTTAAGGGAACCAGCAGTTAGCGTAATGGCTATGTCCCTGGATTCCCACGTAGTCAACTGTGGTTCGCGTCCCGGACCCGGTGGCTTAGAACTCACACTGGGCGCATGTGTGTGTGTGCCCAAGATCCCGAGAGGAGAATGGAGAAGAAGGGATTGCGGCGTGACCATCCCCCCTGGGGGGTGATTTCTCGCTTTCTGTCTCTCTGTCTCTGTCTGTCTGGCGAGCGTACGCGCCCTATAGCGAAAAACCTCTCAAAAAAAAATATTTTAAGACAAGAGTTATCTTTGAACAAAATGGGTTAACATCAGTTAACCTTTTTCTATTGAAACAGAAGCTGGACATTATTTCCACTTGAAGTTATTTGGTTTTATCTTTTTTCAATCTTAGAGTCACTTTGTGTTTCTAAGGATAATTATGTGTTGTGTAATAACTGCTTAACAATTTCCTTTGTTCTCTAACTTACTAGAAATTGTTTCATAGTGTTTACATTGCGCAATCTATTTAAATAGATTGTGGGTTTTTCCTTTGTCTTAAACAAACAAACAAAAAAAACCTCTTGGTTTTATGTGTTAAATTAAACTGTTTGGGCCTAAAACAGCCGTTGTGCTCCCACACTTTGATTCCTATGGATAAGCCAAAATCACAGGTTAGGCTGTTTTTCTGAGCTGGTTGCTAAGTTACAGCCAATCACAATAGCTAGACTTCAGTCAATCACCAGCATCCTGCCTTTTAAACAATGTTAATACAGACTTCAGAATGTAACCAAGGATTTCTTCCTCACTGCCTCACTTAGGTTTTGTGTAAGACACTTTCCTTTTGCTACACACCTCACTTTCCTGTTCTGCCAACTTAAAAGACCAAATTGAACACAAGGCTGGTGGGAGTTGTATGGAAGTCCAGGGACAACTTCCTGATTTAAATTGTATTAAGATTTGCTCTATTACAGCTCCATTAAATTGGCTGGTTTATTTTTCTTTTAACATGTATTTGTTTATTGTACTATTTTCCTTTATCACAGAATTGATTTGTATTTTTAATAAATAATTTTTTTTAATCAGGCCCTCAAAAATGTTTTAGAAGGATAAAAAGGCTTGTTCAGTTTACTTTTTTAAAAATTAAAGTAAGAGGGACCAGCAGATTGAATAATGGCTATGTCGCTGGACTCCCACGTAGTCGACCACGGTTTGAGTCCAGGACCCAGTGGCTTAAACTCACACCGGGCATGTGTACATACAAGCCCAAAATCCTGAGAGGAGAAGGGATTGTGGCATGGCCATCCCCCCTAGGAGGTGATTTCTTGCTTTCTGTCTCTCTAGCTCTGTCTTTCTGGCGAGCACACGTGCCCTATAGCAAAAACCTCTCCAAAACAAAATTAAAGAGATGATCAATTCTTAAGAATCTATGAAGGGTGGCCAGCAGGTGGTGTGGTGATTAAGGCAGTGTAGTCCTATATGGCCAACCACAGTTCGAGTCCTGGACCTGACAGCTTGCTCACTCTTGTGAGCATGTATGCCCTGTAGCAAATAGAATTAAAAAATATATGTATTAATGATTAATAAAGTTAAATAAATAATCCTTTATAAAAAATAATATGAAGGAAGCAATATAATTCAAGCAAAACCCCTTTATTTTCTTCACCAACACTCTTGTTTTTCTTTAACATCAATAATTGTCCCAAATTCTCATTTTGTTTGGGTGAACATAAACACAAGCCCCTTTTTTAGTCATGATAAATCAAATCTCATAGGAAATCTCTAGTTGATTTGTAACTTGAATTACTAGGCTGTACATTTTAGTAGTTGTTTACAAAATGCACTAAAATTTTTATTGTACAGTCAATTTCATTACTATGTAACCAATTACAAGCTGTGATCATTACAGTGGATTTCTTTTTGGTGTTTTAAACAATAATTTTTGTTAGGAATTAGAAGAAAAGAAAGTAGGAAAAGAAAACAGAATCACTTTTATTTAAAATTAGACCAGTTGTAAATTTTGTGGCCTTGTTGCTGACATAGAACTGGATTGGGATATTAAATATATAGGGTCCAATTCTGGCATAGTTCCTTCTTTGCCTTGTACTGATGGCATGTCCAGTCCTGTTTAATATTTATGGACATTTCTTCCTTTTTTGATGTGACTTCAAGATCTGTAAGGTTTTTTTTTTATTATTTTATCCTTAGATACGGAGAGAAAAACAATGCATTCATTGTTGCCAGCTTTGAAAACGAGGATGAGAACAAGGATGAGATCTCCAAGAAAGTTACCAGGGCCCTCGATAAGGTTACTTCTGATTATCATTCAGGATCTTCTTCTTCAGATGAAGAAACAAGTAAGGAAGTGGAGGTGAAACACAGTTCAGTGACTGCAACCCCAAGCCCTGTGTACCAGGTAACCATGAAACAGATCTGTATTGAAGGTTAACCAGTATGTGTACTCCATATAGTCCTGCTTATGTTACCTAAGGTTTCTGATTTGAGGTTCTAAATCACAGACTTTGCCTTTCCCACACTAAGGGGAAGTTGCTTTTCTGAGATATAAATAAGTATCCTGAATTACTTCATCAAAGGTCTGCTTCACTACACAATTAAAATAAATAATATATTTTTTTAATGTGGTAAATGGGCTAGCAGGTCACATGTTGGTAAAGGTGTTAGACTTCCACATGGCCAATTGTGGTTCACATATCAGACCTGGTGGTGTGAAAATCACTCCAGGTGTGTGTACCCAAAATCCAAGGAGGAAAAAGGAGAAGAAAGGATTGTATGGTGGCCATCCCTCCTGGGGGGTGGTTTCTTTGTTTTCTTCTCTCTATTTATTTCTGTCTGTCTCCAGCAAGTGCATATGTTCCATGTCAAAAACCTTTAAAAAAAAAAAAAAAGTGAGTGGGACCAGCAGGTGGCATGGTGGCTACGGTGCTGAACACTCCCACATGGCTGACCATGGTTCGAGTCCCAGACCTGGTGGCTTGCTTTCTCGCTTTCCCTCCCTCTCTGTCTCTCTCTCTCTCTCTCTCTCTCTCTCTCTGTGTGCGTGTGTGTGTATCTCTCTCTGGTCAAATTAGAATGGCTGAATCAATCAATAAAATTAAATAAATAATTATTTTTTTTTAAAGTAAGAAAAACTGATGATAAAGCTCCTGATACTTAAAATTTTCTTTTTTTATTCAATAATTGCCAGTTATTTTTTGTAGTCTTTAACCTCTAGTTCATAACTTCGCTTTTAACTTGTTCCTCTCTCCCTTCCCATGATTGAAGAGAAACTTCACAAAATTGCATTTTGGTTCATTTTTTTACTCAAGCCTAAACAAAGGTTTTCCTATTTGCTTTAATAGTGTAAGAGTTATGTAGGTAGTGTGCTTAGATTTACAGACTGATTCACTTACTGTTTTATGCTTCGGCTAAAGAAAATGTCACATGCTTTTAAGAATTATCAGGACTGGCAAATAGCATAATGGTTACATCACTGGACTTCCATGAAGTTAACCACAATTGAGTCCCAGAGCCAGTGGCTTAAAACTCAACGCCAGGAGTGTGAGTGTGTGTCCAAGATCTTAAAAGAATGGAGGAGAAGGGATTGCGGCCCAGCCATCCTCTAGGGGATGTTTTCTCACTTTCTGTCTCTGTTCTTCAGTAAGTATACATACCCTCTGGCAAAAATCTCTCTCCAAAAAGAATCTTAATCAGGGACCAGCAAATAGTGTAGCGGTTATGTCACTGGACTTGCACATGGCTGACCAGAGTTTAAGTCCTGTACCCAGTGACTTGAAAATCATTCTGGCCACGTGTGTTTGTGTGTGTATGTGTGCCCAAGATCCCAGTATGATAAAATGGAGGAGAAGGGATTGCAGTGTGGCCATTCCCCCAGGGGATGATTTCTCACTTTCCCTCTCACTATGTTTGTCTGTCTTTCTCTCTGGCAAATGCATGTCTCCTATCGCAAAAACCTCTAAAACAAACAAAAAATTTTCAAACATTATTTTTAAACAGAAAAAGTGTTTTTGTTTTTCAGGTTTTTTTCGTAGGAGGATGCACTCAGTAGAGAGAAACAGAGACAAGAGAGGGAAAGTGAGCAATCCCCCCCCAAGACAGGATGGCCACACCATAGTCTCTTCTCCTCCACTCTCCTCTTTGGATCTTGAGCACACACATACATACATACACACACACACACACACACACACACAGCCCCCCCTAACCTGAGTTTCAAGCCACTGGGTCTGGGAACCACAGTCAGCAATGTGAGAGTCCAGCGCCCTAACCATCATACCACATGCTGGCTCCATACCCAGCATGATTTTCAAGCCACTAGATCCAGGACTTGAACCATGGTTGGTCATGTGGGATTCCAGCTCCTTAACCCCTATGTGACCTCCTGGCCCCACAGAAAAGGTCTTTTAAAGTAAAACAAACAAACAAACAAAAAACTTAAAAAGAACGTTTGAATTGAGCTTTTCCCTATATAAGTATCTAATTTTTAGTGTAATATTTTTGTTTTCAGAGAGATTTTTGCTTTAGGGTGCATGCACTTGACAGAGAGACAGCGACAGACAGACAGGCAGACAGAAAGTGAGAAATCACTTCCCAGAGGTGACAGCCAAGCCACAGTCCCTTCTCTTTCATATCTCAGGCACGCATGCACACACACATGACCAGTGTGAATTTTAAGCCTCGGGTCTGGGACTTAAACCACAGTCAATTACAAGGGAATCCAGCGATGTAAACATTATGCCATCTGCTGGTCTCTTGAGTGTACATTTAAATGTACTTACTTTTATTAATTTATTAAATAAAACAAAACATACCAGGTTTATGTTAAGTTTGGATTGGGCTAAGATGAAAAATTAGACCTAATAAGCACAGTATTAATTTTGAGTGTGAGATATTAAACCCTTAAATATAGTGTACATTTATATAATGAACTTTTTTTGGTGTAACTTAATTTGGATTTCTCATTTTTTTCCAGTTGTTGAAATATCCTTCATAGACTTGAAAGGAAGATTAGTTCTAAATATTGTCATATATTAAAAGATGTATATTAAAATATATATTCCAACATTCCCCAACTTCATAAAACTTTAAACAATAAAAATGTAATAGTCCTTCCTTTCTAACCACCAGTCTGGGGCTCTTCCACAGAGGCATTCACCAGGGGTTTGTCTTTGTTTCATTTTGTGTTTTTGTGTCCTTCCAGAGAGATTCATTATTTTGATAAGTAAATATATTGTTTGTATTTCAGGATCATTTGTAAAACATTTTTCATAAATATTTTGGACATTTTTTTCTCAATATGATGCATTATATATTGTTAATTACCTTTGTTGAGTTTCCTGGAATTCAGTCTGATGTATGATAGTTTTACTACGTAAATTTACCTTTAATTTTTAGGTTTTCTTTTAAAATTGTGTTAATTTTTCCCATACTGAAAGACTATTTAGATAATAAAAAGACATGTATTAAAATGTCTTTTATGAGACCAGCAGATGACGCAGCAGTTACTTTGCTGGACTCCCACAGGGCTAACCGCCAGGCCCAGACTTTGTAACTTGAAACACTTGGTGTGTGTGCATGTGCGTACATGCCCAGGATCTGGGTAGGAGAATGGAAAAGGAATTACGGCATGGCCATCCTTCCTCAGGGGTGATTTTTCACTTTCTCTATCACTGTCTCTGTCTCTCCCTCTCTTTCTGGTGCACACATGTCATGTCCCCTAAGGCAAAAGCCTCTCCAAAAAAATAATAAAATGCCTTTTATATGCTTTTTTTTAATTGTATAACAACCACATCTTTCACCAGTCCTTGTGTAGAAAGCTAGTGCAAGTGGCCACTTTAATCTTTTCCTAGTTAGTTTTATTTCTTGAATCTGCTATTACCAAGAGCATTTAAAATTTATCAACCAAGGACGGATTCCTAGCTTGGATTCTGTTCTGTAATATCGTCTGAAAGGTCCCCCAGACATAGCTCTGTACAAATTCAGAAGTGAAAATTAGATCATTTCTCACCAGATTGATCTATAGATTCAACTCAATATCACTTAAAAACCAAAGTGATTTTCCTAGAAAGTGACAGATTGATAAAATTTCTAAAAAGGAGAATCAAGTTGGCAGATTCAGACTAATATAAAATAGTTACATTCATTAAGACAGTGTGGAAATAGTTTAAAGATGCACAAGTATATCAGTAGAGTAATATGAACTTGTGCCCATGTGACTTACAGGATAATATATAACTGTTCTTCTCAAACATTAACTAAACTGACTACATCAAAATCAGCTGGAGATCTTTTTTTAAAATACCTGACCTGTCAGGTGAGCAGGTTGTGTGGTCATTGAGGCACTGAACTCCTCCTCCCACATGGCCTACTGTAGTTCAAGTCCTGGGCCAAGCAGCTTGCTTTCTTCACTTTCTCTCTCTCTCTGGTGAATGCATGTACTCTATAGCAAATTTAAAAATACTAGTAAATACATAATTCTTAAAAATACTTGGCCTCTGTTCCTAAGATTGTATTTGGAAGACTAGGGCTGGGACATCAACATTCACCTTATGTTTAAAAGCTAAGTGACTCCTTGCTTAAGTAAGTCTGGAAGGTAGTGATCTGAAACTATGTCCTTACAAACTTCCATTCATTATATATTTTTATCTTTTGAAGTTGTTCAGTTCACTTTTTTGGCCACAGAAACAGAAAGTGTACCTTCCCCTACCCTCATGGGTCGAGGTCACACCAGTTTTGTTTTTTTTTACCTCTGTTTCTCCCTCTGGTTTGGACATATATACACACTTTCAAGTTTCTGAAGGCTCGGCTTCAAACTGTGGTCAGCCATGTGGACTCTAGCCCCCAATGCATGGGACTTAACACTGTGCTACGTGGCCAGCCAACTTGAAGTTGTCTTTGAGTGCTGTGTTTGAGTTTATCCATTTCTTCATTTCAAAAAACATTGATCACCAATTTTAAAATATTTAGATTTGACCATAGGAATCTCACTTAGACCTAGTCATAGAGTTGTTTAAGTGATTTTTCTCTGTCTTCTTTGAGAAATCTAGAAGGTCACCTAGTCTTTACCTAACACATGACTAATTTTTCCTTTGAATTAACTTAATATTTCTTCCTTACAGATTTCAGAGCTGATATTCCCACCTCTTCCAATGTGGCACCCTTTGCCAAGAAAAAAGCCAGGAATTTACCGAGGAAATGGCCATCAGAATCACTACCCTCCTCCTGTTCCCTTTGGTTATCCAAATCAAGGAAGGAAGAATAAACCATATCGCCCAATTCCAGTGACATGGGTACCTCCTCCTGGAATGCATTGTGACCGGAATCACTGGATTAATCCTCACATGTTAGCACCTCATTAACTTCTTTTGATTTTGTTGGTTTCCTGTTGAAAGGTAGAATAAACCTTCCTACACATTAAAAGTTAAAAGTTCATACTCATAGTAGTGAAGTTTAGATGGACCAAACCATCAAACTTATTTTTATAGAGAAGTTATTGAGAATAATCTTTCTTAAAAAAAAAAAAATATATATATATATATATATATATATATGCACTCTGTGGCAGAAACTGAATGATTAGAAGATATAAAAACTTGGACAGCAACTATGGACACTAGAGTGAG